TTACTTTGAGAAAAGTAACTGCATTATAAAAAGGATATATACATATACATTTTTTCGGACTATAGAGCGCACCTCACTATAAGCACCCACTAAGTTAGAAAAAAATAAAATACTGGAAACATACATATATAAGCTGCACCGGGCTATAAGCCGCTGATATCCATTGAACATATGCACAGGATGCACAGCTTTGAGTGGTAAGTAGGTGACTATCAGAGAGTAGACTGAAACTTATTAGCTTATTTTTCTGACTAATCAATCAGCATGCTCTCTGACAACCAGTCGCCTGGAACGCTTGTTGAAAAAAGCATTGCTTGGGACGTATATGCTGCACAAGTTTCACAAACAACCTCCTTCCCACACCCCCCTCTCTCTTGCTGTGCCTGCACAATTAAAGTAGTTCCTCCAAATAGCTTAAATTACTGATTGAGTAGAGAGAAATTTTTACTCAAAAATAGGGATATTTCACAGGAATATTACTCAGGAACTAGTAAAATGTATAGCACAGTAAAACCACTCCTGAGGATGCTGGTAAAGGTCATCCAGGTCATAGCAATTCTAAAAAAAAAAAAAACGTTAAAAAACAATCCAGTGGACTTTGTTTCCAAGTTTGAAGACGTTTCGCTTCCCATCCAGGAGGCTTTTTCGATTCAAAATGTCAAAATAGCGTTAAGTTCGAGGCTTTATAGAGTCCGAACAAACGGACTTCCTGGATGGGAAGCGAAACGTCTTTATACTATGAAATAAAGTCCAGTGGTTTGCACTCCGGAGGATGCTTTCTCAAAAAGCAAATAAAAATGGATTAAATGTAACTACTTACTTACCGTCTGTCATGGTCTTAGTTCTGTTGTTCTTTACTTTGCTCTTTGTTTTCTAGTTTTATTGGTTTAATTCCAGTTTTGTTGTAATTTCTAGATTTGTGTTAGTTCTCATGTTTTTCTGTTGTCCTCTTTTGCCCTCTTGTGTATGTTCCTTTCCCCTTGGCTCCCTCGTTGTCTCCTCTCACACCTGCTCCTTGTCTGCTCGTTAGCCCTCCCTTTGTCTCTGTCAGCTATATATGCTCTCCCTCTGCTCTCACTCTTTGTTGGTTCCTTGTCTTTGCTGTCTTCCCATGCTGTGGTCTACGTTCCTCGTCTTTCCCTGGCTCCTCGTGTTTTGTGTCCCCAGATGTCTCCATAGTTCTGGTTTGCTTTATATTTTTCATGTTTATTGTGGATTTTTGGATTCCCGCCTCTGTTACCTGTGTTTATTTCATTAAAGCTGCAAGAAATCTCCTCAGCCTCTCTGCCTCTGCATTTGGGTCCTCAAACCACAACCAAACCCTGACACTGTCTTTGTTATTACTAATATCATATAAAGCATTTTTTTTTAAATACCACTATCACTTCCTAAGGAATGTTTTGACTTGAGTCCAATTTCATAAAATTCAGCTCGTTACTCTGAAGTTGTGAGAGGTTGCTTTGTGAAAATATGCTTACCTGTAGGTCATAACGGGAATTTCATTGCGACAAACAAGTAAAGACCCAGGTTTTATGATGTGATAGTATGGACCTTTTTTTCAAGAGGTCAACATGTCATAAGCCAGCATTTTGTTTCATTATTGTTGTAAAGAACATGTTCTATAAATGGAATTTTGAAACCACCAAAAACAAGATTTTTAAATGAAATTTGCCACGGAAAATGCAACCCAGAAATGAATCTTCGAAATACTTCAAAAAGGTTTTGAGAGTAACTTTAATGTTTTCTCATATTTTTTTGTCAAATGTCCTTTTTTTAATTTTATCTTTTCGAAGATCCATCCATCTTCTTCTGCTTTTCATATCTGTCAGGGTCGCAGTGTGGCTGATGCCTGTCTTCAGCAGTCTTAAGGCAAAAGGCAGTGTTTGATCATTGTTTTGATTGCCGGGTCTGAATCCAAGGAGGGAAGGTGTTACTAGACCATCTCTGGTCATCATAGGTCATCTTAGCCTACATTATTGGATTGTCATTCTGGCTGATTTACACAGAAAGTGAACAGACATACAGAATGAATAGTTATTTAAAAGAGAAAATAAAATAAAAAGACATTAATCTTTAACAACAGGTAACACAGAGACACAGAACCATGAACACACACACTCACACCTACAGTAGGGACAATTTAGAGATCCCAATTAACTGTCAAGGTTTCAGACTGCAGGATGGAGCTGGCATATCCAGAGAAAACGGACACATGCAGGGGGAGTACATGGAAACTCCATGCTGGTTTGATTCCAAGTCCAGGGCTTTTTTTTTTTTTTAGATTTTATATTTAAAAAAAAAACAAATATTTTTTAAACTTCCCTTTTGCAGATTGAGTATTTTAAATTTGGATTCTTTGCAAATAGTGCTTTAAAGATAACTTTTTCTTCAATTCACCTCAGGCGTAGAGGCTCACCCTTGACCAATATAAATGTTGGTCCATTCTGACCAATAGAAATGTGTCTTTTCTCCCAGCTCCAGAGGACTCAAGTGTTATAGTAACTTAATTTTGGAGACATTCAATTATTTCTCTAGGTAAATATAAAGCCCTTTGCACGAAATGCCCTTCTCAGAAACTCGCCCATGTAGATTAAGAGGGTCGGATCCATGATTCATGTTTTATTTATTTATTTACTTATTTATTTATTTAGTTCCTTCAAAATTCTTTTTCAGATTGAGTTTTACAAACTGCATAAAAAAATAAAACATGAAAAATATAAAATCTCTTAACCATTTATGATTAAGAGGTCTTCAATGTCCTGGAACAGACCTGTCCTGTCCAGGGTGTACCCCGCCTCTCGCCCATAGACTGCCTGAGATATCCTGAACTGCGACTCTGAAGGACTAAGCCTGAGAAGATGGATGGATGGATGGAACTCTCATTGTTTTTCATGTCTGGATTACATTTTTTTTTTTTTATTTGCAATTACAACATGTGTTCTTTGCATGCAACAATAACTAAAAGAAAATAACTCCCTATAATTATACATTTAATTTAATTTTAATTTGAACCCTAATGGTTTCCTCTCCAAAATAATTGATCTTGGTTTTCCACAGGACATCCTCTACCATATTTCTGAGATGCCTTCCTCAAAGAGTTCCATTCATTGGACTGTTTCTGAATTATTCGGTCAGCGGAGGCTGTTAGGGTTCGGTGCTGTACTGGCATGGCTCATCCTATTCCATCTCCTGGTGAATGTATGGCTGCTGTGTATCTTCACGAGTCTTTTGGTGGTTCTCGGTGGTTGGATCGGTTCCCGTGCTGCCCTGGATGCAAACAGTTTCTTACATTTGGAACATTTTCTGCCCCTTGGGACGCTTAACCCTCCTCTGTGTTCCCCCGAGCATGAGTGGAGGCTGAACCATGAGATCCACTGTGTTGTCCACAAAGCAGTACGCGACTTTGTTTCTTCGTGGTATCGAACTCTGCTCCCTGAGGTGGAGGGAGAGTTTGAACGTGCAGTGTGTCACTCGATGCTGGAGGCTGTGATGGAACTAAAGGAGCGTGCACAACGAGTGGACAGAAAAGCTCTGGTTCAGCAGCTGTTAGAGCTGTACGGCTGTCACCTGCAGAGCTACATGACTGTAAGGCAGACCCAGTCCACACAGGAGAGCAATGGCTTATGGCAGCTCTATAGTAAAGTCAAGTCCCCTCATCCAGCTGTGAGCAATTCCGATGCTGAGCTCAACTACTCCAGAGCCATGGTTAACCTTGTGTTACATGTTCTTGTCCCATACCCTCAGATGGAAACCAGGACTGGCGCTCACATGGTGACAGAACTCATCACCTGTAACATGGTGTTACCACTCATAAGCCGGGTTTCTGATCCAGACTGGCTCAATCAGACAATCGTTGACATATTTATGAGAACCAGAGAAGCAGAGGAGATGGCTCTGGATGAATCTTCTGTCAATGCACTGTACACATGTCATGAGCAGCAGGAATCGTGGTCCACCTGCAAGTCCCTGTCTATATCTGAACAAACCAATTTCCACTGCAAAACCTCTGATGACATAGATGAGCCTCAGTACCAGAGCATAATCTCTGGGATGGACTCGTCTCAAAGCAGCCTCATCAGCCTGACATCTGCAGGACGAACACCCAGTTACCAAGCTGGTTTAAACACACCATCTAAGGTGAACTGCTGCTCACTCACATCAGGCCAACATTCCCAGTTAGTGTCCAAAATGGTTTCTATGAACCAACTTATCCATTCAGATTCAGATGATGATCTTGCTGAAGGAGTTTGTGACTGTGCTCCCACTGCCAACCTCTGCAGTCTTCTCCCTGTAAGTGAGGGAGAAGCATTTGGATGTTTTCGACCTCTAAAAAATCTTGGACTAAAGGTAGTTGAGCCTAAAGACTCCCAATGGCCAGCCGGCATTGCTCAGGTGAAGTCCCCCATCATCCCGCAAAGAAAGCTTTGCCTAACCTCGTACAACTTTGACGCTTCCAGTGGCCCCATTGCGTCTTCTTTCAGAATTCAGAATGTTCATATTTCTGGGACAGTCAATGTGAAGGACCAGCGAAGCACAGGCATACATCCCTACACACTCTACACTGTTAAGGTGCTTTTACCTACTGTTTGACTCTATTTTATCATTACATATTATTAACTATTACTGCCATGACTTTCTTTGTGAAGTCAGAATTCTGCAAAGGAGGGCAGATGTGTAAGAGAAGTTTTACTTAAAATACACATTAAGTACTCTCCACATTTATTTTTTACCTTTTATGAATGCAGATTCAAAACCATAAGGCCCCCAATATATCACAAGCATATGTGCATAATGGTTCTTCACACCCATGGATTGCTTTTCATGTGCATGTTCCCTCTGTTGCCAACTCTTTAGCAGGAAAAGCAGCCATTGGCTGTCCTACAATCGCTAGTCCCTAATACAGCTGCAAAAGAGTGAAATCATAAAATTGGCAGGACAGACAGCAATTAAAAGCTCTTTAAATAGCTTTTAAAAAACTGCAATAAATAGCTTCAAGCATTAATTTATACATTACCTGAAAACTGCATTGATTAATTTGGTTATGTCATCAAATTCAACTTAAAGATACAGTAGCAGCCATTCAAAATGGGCCATCAGTCAAATACCAGCCGATTGGCAGCCCGTTTCCATGCGACTTCAAGCTGAATCGCCTCCAACTTCCAGCCACCAGCCTACTCCTGGGTGTGCATCTTTGTTTAACTCTTTTTTTAACTCCACCCTTTCACTGAATTACAGGGTCTGACAAGGAGGTGACGCTTCTCTTTAGATCTTAGTGTTCACAAATCATGACAGAAAGAATATTTTAGTACGAATATTGTTCAAAAAAGAATTGTAGGGGACCAGCCAAGGACCAGCCACAAGTCTCCAGTGGATAAGGCGGTGTGTGTAAATTAAATAATTATCACTTTTAATTAAAAACACATCACATTAATATATATATATATATATATATATATATATATATATATATATATATATATATATATATATATATATATATTGTTTACTTCAGGCACTGTTGGCTGCATGCATAGTTTGCCATTGATTTTGCCTGTTACTGCTTTGGAGGGGCTTTCAGCTGCCCTTGCTGCTAGCTGAACACAGAAAATTTTCATTAGATTTGTTGTTATTCATTTTTAAAAAAGTCACTAGAAAAAAAGTAATTAAAATATAGCAATTAAGCCAGTAACACCTCTCCTCTATATGTGCAAGGACCTGTTTCCACAAACTCATGCCAACCTAGTCCTCTTTGGGTGGGAACCAGCCGAAGGGAGTACAAAAAACTGCCTCTGATTGGCTACTTCTTAGCAAATTCTGCCTCTTGAACCATCCCGGTTCCCTGTTTGTGGCTGATAATATTAGCAAAGGGTCTATTGTTGTTCTCTTAAAGAGCTAAAAATTGTTCATCAAAGTCATTGAGTATTAGATATCTTAATCTTACACACTAGTGAATGTGTTCTTATAGTAGCAGCTACATAACTAAAAATTATGATAAATATTGAACTGTTTATTGATGAACAAAGACATTTCCAATTTAAATCAGTTTACAACAACTGTTGGGCATTTCTCCCTTTACGTTTTTCAGCATTGTGTTTATAAAATCATCATATAATGACAGAGGTGGCTGTTGGATATGAAGTCAGAATTAAACTCATGAAGAGAACAGCAGTTAGCCTGAAAAGTCTTTGCTCGTGTTACTAGCCACAACCAGGACAGAAGACAGGACTGTCGGAGATTTCGTGAAAAGTAAACAATTTCAGTCTGTTAACTTTCTCTGGTTGGTTCTACTTTCAAAGTGACAAAAGTTGGCAACAGCGCAAAGAAGCAGATCTACAAGGTGAGTAGAAAAGAAGCTACATACATATAAAAAGCAAGACATGAATGTAGACAGGGAGTATTTACTCAGGTGTCTGATATAATGGGGGCCCCATGGTATTAAATTTACATGCATAAAATCGTAAAAAAATTGGTGTGAAGAGTATTTTATATCCATGTATTTTAAATAAACTGATTTACTACACATGCACACTTTTTGCAGAATTATAAGTTTTTGATTTTTCTATTTTGTGTGTTTTTACAATGCTGTTCAATCCCAAAGCTAAAGCATTTTTATTTAAAAGTTTGAGATGGTGTCTGATGGCGGGAACGACGTTGCTACACCACTGGCAGTCGGCCACAGTGTTGACCGCAGGTACAGCGAGTTCCTGAACCTCCAAGCAAGATTAGAAGAGAAGCCTGAGCTTAAAAAGCTAATTAAAAGTAAATAATAAATTACTCTATTTGTTATTCTAGTTCATCCAATAGAGGGTGATCATTGCCTGTACACGGTATGTTTTTCAGATGTCAAAGGCCTAAAGAAAATATTCCCTGATCTTCCCTTTGGCAGCCAGGACAGTGAGAAAGTTGAAGCTAGGAAAAGCCAGTTGGATGCCTTTCTAAAGGTAGGTTCGCGATGTATGACATTACAATGCATGGATAAGCATGATATGTGGATTTTTCTTTTCTTGTAGCAATTAAGCAGCATTCCTGAGACAGCCAACAGTGAAGACATGCAGGAGTTCCTGGCTATTAACTCAGATGTTTGCGTGTATTTTGGAAGAAAGCCATTAACAAAGTCAAGAATTGATAAGGTAGCCAAACCACACTAAAGTAATCAGATTTAAAGTGTTTGTGTGTTGATTTATTGTATATTATCTCCAATCTTCATCTCAAAGATGATGGAAAATGCTTTGGATACTCTGAGGACAGCTTTCCCTCATCCTGAGCTTCTTAGTCCAACCGAGGACATTGAGGGTGATGCTGATGGAAGAACAATGGACTACAGGAAGTACAGGTGACAACTCAGTCTGTTCAATATACTGTGACGTAATTATTTATTTTTGATTAAAGATATATTTACATTTCCTTTATTTTGTGCTCCAGGAAACTTTTCCCAAGTAAAATGTCTACATCACTCAATATACCAGAACTCCATCCTAAAGTGACATATTGCTTCAGTGAAGGCAGTTCTGTAAGATAACACTGGGAACGTTCTCTACATGTTTCAGCCACACATAAAAGACCCAGAGATTTGATATATGAAAATTTTTTTGTGTCTGTTCAGGTGCTTAATGGCATGTCTTTGCTTGGCTTGGAGATCTTTGTCAGACAGCAGGAGAAACTTTTGTGTGGGCCAGATGTGACCGAAGTAACCAAGCAAGGCTGCACCCTGCAGGACAAAGACAAGAAGATATCAGGGAAAAGTCATGGGACAGGTTGGGATAATAATATGGACCTTGCATCATCCATTTTCTGGTCATTACACATAGATTCCCTTACTTGTTAAATAAATTTTCCTCTATTTACCACAGCTGAATCTAAAGGTTCCATTACTCAGTTCGTGAGACAGAGACTCAGGTCGTATTGAATGGAGGTGGACACAGTTGTGACAGGCTGCACAGCCTCTTTGGCTACTTTGCCAAGTTTCCGCTACATTAGGAGAGAACTTCCTTATTTTGAAACTTTGTTATTCTGAACAACAATAAACTGTTAAAATAAGGATGCTGTCCTCTTCTTCCATGCGTGTGCATAACAATGGTGTCATTTTCACTTTCACCCCAGAGGGTGAAAACATTTTTAAAACCTCTTGAATTTGCAGTTTCCCTCTTAAAGGATGAGCAACCCTGAAGGAAAACTTGATGCAAAATACTTTACCATTCTACATGGAGTTTAGCTTTTTAACAAGACAGCAGCCATAAACAGGAAGCTAGAGCCACGGTAGAATGGCTTATATGAAATCATTTTCATTTGAAAAATGGCCTTGTTAAAGTCCACACCTGAGTCAGATTCGAAATCTGTAGAGATGAAGCCAAAATTTTCCCAAACAAGCCCCAGATGACTTCTTACTAATTACCAGACTTAGACAATTAAGTTTTAAAATTTCTGAAATGTAATTTTGCACAGCTCTCATGACATTTCCATTTCGTAAAGTGCAGCAGTGATCAAAAGTAAACAGTGTGGAAGAAAAAAGACATGGTACAAAAAAAAACAGAAAAACAAGTATGTATTTTAATTATGTATCTGTAAAGACAGTTGGTTCTGCTTGATTTTTATTTTTGGAGTAATACCATTAAATACCTGTAAATAAGGGAATGCAACATGTTTTTTTTTATTTTCTTTTTTTTTAATGTATTTTATTTGAAATAGGACAGTGCACATTAATTAATGCATCTGCAAATCCTTCAACATAAATATGCCGAAGTTGGCACCACAGCTAAATTTAATATGTTTGTTATGAGGCAGGTACAAACATTTTACAATACATTAACAACACAGACTTTTCTACAGGAAAGCAAACACAGACACAAAACATCTTAACAGACTATTAAAAATAAAAGAAACAACTTTTTTGTTAAAAGAGCCCAGAATTAGAATTATTTATGGTAGCATGACTAATTAGTTTTCAACCAAATTTTCAGGACTTGTTTGAAAATTGAGCAGTGTCCACAGTTTTAGATATGCTCCGGCAGCTCCATAGACGTGTCCCTCTGACAGACACCAGCATTTGGCTGAATTTATTCCTATGCTTTAAAACATTACAATCATCTCTTGCTGATGTTCTGTTGATTATTCCAGAATTATTATTTTTTTAATCATCAAAACTATTCAAGGAAGAGGGCCAAGCAAATGTAGTATTTCGAAAATAAGACAAGCATCCAGGATCATCTGATAACTTTCAAAATCTAAAAAATACATATTTTCTTAAAATGTTACAGTAATGATAGTTTAAAGGCTTGCTGTCTAAAACTTTAGTAGCTTCATAGCCCTCTCAGTTATCTGGCACCAGGTTGTAAAATGGTTTAAGTGCAGACTGAGTGCATTTAAGTCATTGCCACATCTGCAGTTAGATATGACCTTCTGTGTTTCATATTTGATAAGCTTAATTTGATGATGTCAGGTATTTTCATTACATAGTGTCTAAAAAATAAATAAGAATCAAAGACTACCCTGAGATACTTAATATTTTTTATGACTTGTAAACATTCTTCATCAATGGCGTAACGACACAACAATAGGCCCATAAGCAACTTTATCTGGGTGGGCCCCATATTAAGTACAACACTCTGGATTACCCATAATTCCAAGTCGAAGTGTAGAAAATAAAATACTCAAATACATCGTTCTTTTAAGGTCTTTATTGCAGTTTGAAACATATTATATGAGCATATTTTTTTTACCAACCATCTAATGATTTAAACACAGTTATTAATATAGTAATAAAAAGTACCACTGTCTGCTTTGCTATTGGTGTCGTGTTTAAACGGCTCACCATCATGTTGAAATCTGGCATTTGTTGGGGTATAAATAAGGTCTGGTCATTCAACTTAAAATCAGGGGGGTTTTAAGAGGAATTTTTGCACCATAACGTCTGCAATCAGACTTCCTAGTCCACAATTGCGAAGGGGGCCTACCAGGTGTCAATGACAGGGCCCCTAAGAGGTTGGGGGGCCCTAAGCAACAGCATTCTTTACTTAGCGATATTTACGCCATTGTTCTTCATTAACCAAAACAGTTGGTTGTTAACCCCCTTGTCAGATTTTATATGAAAAATGGTTGTAATAATCTGTTTTAAAACATTAAAATGACCTTAAGTTTGAATTTCTAATTTGATATTATGTGAAGAAAGGACAATAAAAACGTTGGCAAAGGCCTCCTGTTTTACCTGTAGTGAGGCATATGCCTAAGCAACATGCAGTGACTTAGTATCACCACTGAAGTGCAGTAGAACTCAATTTTTAGATCAAACCCATCCTGTTGGTGGTTTAGTCCCTGAACCATTTGTTTTTCAACAAGTAAAACTATGGTGTTAAAATAATTTATCTGTGTGCACTACAGACACAGCTGTGGCAGATGTTGCACTGAATATATTGTGCCTGTTGATGAAGGATCACTGGAGCTGGCTGTGCACTGAGAACATCCAGAAGGCAATCAGACTTCTCTTTGGCACCTTCATTGAAAGGTTTTTTCTTATCTTTTTTAACCATACGATTTGTTATTTTACTCAATGCAGACACACATATATGAATAAATGAAAACAGATGCATTTTCCAAAACACAGCTGTGAATTGTACAGATCTTTTACTTAAAATATTTAATTTATGGACTTTTACAAACTCTATAATTTGTTTTAAAATCTACAAATATGTCTCTGTTTATTTGAATTATGCAATACTGATTTTTTTTTATCAGACTATTTGACTGTTAGACTGCAAAAATTCTCCACATTTGATGTACAATAGAACTTTTTCATCTATTCCCATCCCAGGTGGCTGGATATAGGTGCTGCCCACCTAACCAGCGCCCCCTGCTGGATAATTTACCTTCAAGTCTTGCAAGAGGCTGTGTGGCCTGGCGGTACCCTTCCAGCTCAACCCCGGCCTGAGCGAAGTGCTGCAGAAAAAGAGGAAACCAAGGAGAGGTGTCTGGACTGCCTGATGCAGCTGCTTCCTGGTCTGTAGCAGCTTTTGGGGTTTTATTGATTTGATTGCCTACCTTAAGTGTATTTTGTTCTTCTTTTATGTTGCACAGAGCTAATAGCTGATATGTTGGGAAGCGAGAAGTACAGGCTGAGCTTGGAGACCATGCTTGAGTCTCTACAGGACCATCAGATAAACAAGTTAGTCAACTCTGTTTGGGCAAAGCAATTTGAGTCTATTCGTTATTAGTTTACTGGTAAACACCAAGGAGCCTTGTAAAATATGAAAATTAAGTTCTGTTTTTCCTTTAAGTTAATGTGTGTATCTGGTTGTTTGTGTTGCTGTCTGCAGGCATTTGATCTACAGTATCTGTGACGTGCTGCTGGAGTTTCTGATCCCCGAGTCATGCGATGTGGCCTTTCAGAAGTCTCTGTTGCAGAGTCTGGCCAAAGAGTCGCAGAGAAACAGCCTTTATACCTGACCAAAAATGTGTGACACACAAAGCAGGATCCCCTTTATGCAATATCTGCAGCGTATTTGTCTGATGAATGTAACAAATCGGTGGCTTTTGGTAAATAAGTTTCCATGAACTCATTGTTTGTCTTTTTGGATAATAAATCACTGAGTTCACGCCGACCAAGAATTTTGTTGTTGGAGTAAATAGTTTATATGTTATCTCTATGTGGAGGCAGCTCAGGATTGCTGCAAGGCAGAGCTAGGTCACAATTCTAGTGAGGCGAACGGCAAAAAAATGTGTTTTTGTTTTGCAACTGGAAAACGGGGACTAGATGTGGCTGTGACATAAGGTGAAGGTGCACCATTTCCTTAGCTATAAAACTTGCCCCAGCCAATCCACCGCTGTGTTTCCTTAGCTTCAGAGCTAGTCCCAGGCAATCTCCCGCTGTGTTTCCTTAGCTCCAGGGGGCAGCAGAGCTGGCCAAAACATCCTGGATACTGGGTGCTTTCTCTTTGCAGGGGTTCTAGTTTTGCTTTCCTTGCTGTGCCTGCCCGAGCTTCAGAACACCGTCTCACCTTACTTAAAGCTCCAGGGAAAGCAGCCTCTCATCAGCCGTAGCTTATGTACCTCCAAAGTTAGAATCATCTCTGGACCCAGGGAATCCTATGTTCTGTTTTCCAACAAAAATAAAGCACCACGACTTGCTCTGTAAAACCCCTGTCCCCCATGTTAAGGTGAAACTGAAACTAGCAGACTAAATGAGGTAGTGGACGCCTTCACCTGCTTTTGCTCTCCATGTGAATTCTGGCAAAAGATCAGGCAATAGAACACGAAAATGGTTGTCAATGCTTTTTTATTACTATTAAACCAGCAGGGAAGAAATGCGCAGTGAGGGTTGTGTTGCTATTGATGCCAATGGCCTTCCATTGGGCTTCTGTAAAGCTGCTCATTTTACTATGAGAACAAGAACTGAGATGAAAAACTGCCAATGGGTTGGTGGCATAAAAATTGAAAGTGTAGTTTCCACCCAGAGACAGTGGAAGAGGGGGGACAGGCACCTCAGTTGTCTCATAAAGACTTAGATTACCATCACAGGGACTTAGAAAATAATATATCATGGTAAAAATGTTAATCAGTTTTGCTATAAATGCAGCACTGTATAGATATATATATAAAAAAACAATATTTCTTTTTATTATTATTTAATTTCACAGTAGTGCATCAAAAGGAAAAATACCCTTATCAGTACAGTTATATGTTTTAATTTGAAGCCTGAACCAATAGAACAAAATTTGTCATGTTTTCTTTGACCCTGTAGAGGTGTCATTCTGATTACATTTCGACCAGGAAGGTTTGGAAGAAGAACAAAATAAGACAAATATAAACTTTTTTAATTCTCTTTGGTTGGAATAAATTCCCCCTTTTTGTGTTGTTCAACTTGTCACAGTTATATGTTTGAGAGGATCGATCAATCAGTCAATCCATTGATCATCCATTTTTGTTAAAATTGTTCACTGTATGATTGTTTAAGTCATTTTAATATCTACATGCTACGAGAAAATGTCAATTTGAATTATATATATATATATATATAATTCATGTTAAAGCAAATTAAAATGTAACTTTTCTAAAGGTATCTATTGATTTTGCTTTTGATGTTGAATTGAAGTCGTTTGCTTATTAATGTTTTTAAACCTGCTCACCTTATAAGAGAATAACAAAATCAGGCAAAGTGAGAATGAGTTTTCCCAGCATCTTTGTTTGAAGCATGCCATTGTCACGATGATCAAGAGCTGAAAAGATAACAATAACTTGACAATACTTAAAGTAGGCAAACCTCATATCAGAGCGAGGTAGTAACTGTCATAATTTTTCAAGATGAACCCAGAATGCAAACAGACATGGAGCTACTCTTGAGAGTTTATTGAAGGTAATGAGTTATGGATGAAAGTAACCAGAGGCTGTACCAGGCTAGAGTTGGAAGAGTTGGAGGCTTTCGGTGACAGCAGGCAGAGCAGAAGTTTCGGCGACGGCAACAGCGTCAACGTGGCAGGACCCTCTGATGAGGCCTGGGGCGGCCAAGCAGCATTTCACCAGCAGGGAAGGAGGTCTTCCCGGTCACCATAAAATAAATCCCACCAGCTGTGTGTCCTCGATGTGCGGAGCCCGGACCAGTGGGATAGTAACCCTCCGATCTTTAACCCAGGCCCACACCCAGGGGTACAGATGTGTTTCTAGAAGGTGTTGACCAAGGCGACGGGGAAGCGACAATCCTCCGCCATGACTCCCTGGAGCTACCACGACGTTGCCAGTCCGCCTCTCTAGGAAGACGGAGGTGACGGTGGCCCCAGCAGGCGGAAGCGCTGCAGTGATGCTCGGCTGGGCCTCGGGCTGGCCAGTAATAGACCTGTTGCACCGTTGAGCCCGGCAGCTATGCCGGGAGGAGCCAGAAGGTGGGGGAGTTATGGCAGAGACAATGTATTCCATCTAAAACAGACTGAATGATGGAGTCTACAGGTATGTCTGCTGGCTCAGCCATTTTACTTTGCTTCATCCTGCCGTATGTGGTTGATTTCATACACTCCAATGCCTTTATTGGTTCAAAACATATCTGAATCTATTGGCTCCAGGCAATATATATTTTTATTTTGCTTGCAAGGTGACCTCCATATGCATCGTGGATTACATCACGATTGTCAAATCCATCCTGTGATCCTCTACTTTGTGAAACCCCTCATCTAAAGAGTCTGTGCAGAGGAATGTTCAAAGACACTTTTCTCTGTACGCTCCTCCTTTTTCTATATAAAAAAAGGGGTTTAAATGTAATTTAAGTGATTGAGACACCAGTTATTCTTTTAAAAACTGAAATTTCTTAAAATACAATTTTCTGGAGAATAAACAAATGTTTTCTTTTTTTTTCTTCCTTTTTTGTTCAAAAGAAAACTGTTCTGGCTCTTAGCAAGATTTATTTCCTTTTGTGACTGTTTTCATGTTAACAGGCCTGCAAGCTACCTTTCTAAAACCATAACAGGTTATTATAGTTTGATTGTTCCACATGGTTACTTTGGTGTTATGTTTATTTTTCAAATATTTCAATTTATGTTTGTTCTGCTTTGTAATTTAACCCTCATCCATGAATGTCATAATATGGTTTAATATTTAAAGAGATTAATTCAAGCTTTCAAAGAAACGTTTTGAATAGAAATTTTATTTAAAGTCAAGTTTCTTTTCCCCCAAAATACTTGTATGAATAAAAAATTCAGAACTGAAATCGAGCTACGTGTTCACAGTTAATGATTTTTTTTCAAACCTCTGACTAATAGCTAATATGAAAATGTTTGCGGCCTGTATGTCTCTAAGATCTTTTGATGTATAAAAATATTCTGTGCTTCACGTCTAATTTCTTTGATGGTTTTCACTTTAACTGGATGACTTATGAAACCACTGTGCAAATATTCCTTTAATGTTTGGCTCAAGTGGCAAATCAAGAAGGGAAGCCAAAATAACCAGCATCTGTGACCTGCTTCCATTTTTCATTACTTTGTCTGACATCGCTAATAAAGCCATTTCAAATGTGTAGACCGAACACCACAATAAATATGGATTAAATTAATGTGTTTTTCCTTTCCAGCGCTGCTGGATAAACTTTTGTGGTCACCACTACCAAACTGCTTACTATTAATGTTTTGCAACTAACTGAGAGAATCAGAGAAAGTGAGATGAATCAACCAAATGACTTTCCTCTGCTTTCATTTGGCTCAATCAGTAAAGACTTAAAAACAACAAAAAAAACCCAGCAAATTATAGGAATAACACATAGCATTTAAGTAAATATTGAGAAGTGCATTTCTTTTTTTAACAACTCTATGATTAAACTTACCCTGCAAGCTAGATGAGATTTGTGAATTCACAAACTCCCGAAAATATCTTGCCAGAAGGCCGTTGATACATTAGCCTCGAATACAGAGGTGTTTCAGACCAATATAATGCTGATGTATATGACGTCAAAACGTCAAGTAGAATCAGAAGGATGAATTAAAACAAACATGGCTGTGTCCGTTTTAGCCAAAAATATCAACCATTTTTTTCTCGAAGCGAGCAAAATGACATGCTTTTTGTCTTTGTGGGTCAAAAAGATGTTTACGCGTTCCTCAAGACCAGATTTGACATGAGTTTTCAAAGTGGGTAAAGAATCATTTGACTAAAGGTTATTGGTTCTTGATTAAGCAAATCATTTAATAAAACAATATTTGGCCAAATAATGTTTTAATCACCTCATGAATTTGCATTGTGAACTGGTCTGAAAACATTCAAATTTCTCTAAACTAGTGAAAAGCTAATTTGATCATTTCACAAATTCTTCCAGACAAACTTTGGTTTCCTGTTTGTACATAGTAGTTCAGGTTAGTTTAGTTTCACTAGTTTAAGTTAAGAGTGTTAAACTGAAATATGTTTGACTTTGAGCTGAATGATTTTTGTTACTAAACTTTTATATGTTGAACAGAAGTTGTGGTCAATTTATTCCATGTATGTGTAGAATTAACTGTTTGACCATGATTAGTGCTCGAACCACTCTTTCATTTATTGTTTTAACGCACAGCTAGTAGGGCTTGTGTTCATAAACAATATATAACAGCAGAAATAATATCTGATTAAATAAGATATTTACCAACCCTACTGGGGAGGGAAATAAACATCTTAAAGTATCAGAAATTTAAATTCCCAGCTGGCTGGGGATTGAATAGAATATAAATCGACATCATTAATGTGGGATCCAACCCAGATGAGCATTGAACATAAAATCACCACAAGGGAATTTTAGAAAACTTTTTTCAATTACTTTTTTATTTGGTACATCTAGTTCTGGGTTTGGCTCACACATTTAAAGTGTTCTAATTCTTGGTAGAATAGTTTCAACGTATTCTCTAAAACATCTGTAAGCTTTTGTCTTATTTGAAGATTTGAACTTTTTCACATGGTTCTATATCCTGATAAAATCTTTAGAAAATGAATACCAGTACACTGTGGTTTGAAAGAGATACAAGTGGTCAGCAACAACACTCAGGTAGGCTGAGATGTGATTG